GGTGTTACATTTAAAAAAAGTTTGTATTGTAATTAATTTTTGAGACACGCTGTATAGTTGAAAATAATTTTAGGCCATGAACTAGATTAGTATTTATCAATTTCCCATGTTTTAAAAAATTATCGTTTAAAGGTCAATATTGGACTTTATCAACTCGCTGGGACACCTGTATAAAAAAAAAATTGCTACAAATCTCTTACATAGCTATAATTAACACAAAAACCAAAAAAAACCGAAAAATTCATTTTTAATAAATCGTCACATTTTTATAGTCGTATAGTAAATAAATAGAGAAACGTTTGATTCCATAGATTTTTCACCCTGTATTATTAATATTATTAGAACCAGTGCAAAAAAGTAAATGTGAGTGATTTTATTTTATTTTAATTTATAGATTTAATTTTTTTCCTTCACTTTACATGTGTTTTCTTATTTGTATTACTTACTGAGTTTCATTGCGAGTTTCTTGAGTAGAACGATTGTAGGCAGTATCAGGCTGTAAAAACATAATATTACAACATATTCCATTTTTTTATTATTTTTATTACCTTGAAGAAATCAAAACCCATCCGATTCACCTGCAAAATAAACCGAAATCAGTAATTTTATCAAATATAACAAAATATAAAAATAAGACACACACGAAGACAAATGCACGTAAAAATGATAATGTATATAAAGGGTGTACAGGCAGAAAAATACAAAAGAACATGATAACAGCTTGTTAAGCAATGTTAGTTAAAAATATACAGGGTGTATATGATTCATATGGGTGTATTAGAAGCTTTCCCCAAGACGTAACTTACGCCGTCTCCATTTTCCGTTGTAAAGAAATGCATTTGAGGAGTTTCCTAAAAAATAAAATGTTATTTTTGCAATTTAAAAAAGTACACATAAATTACTGATACTATTTTTATACTAGTCAACTTACAGTAACTGTGTTGGCTGTTAGTGTCGTTGTCTCGTTGTTAACCTAAAATAATAATAATAAAAAAACGTTTCAAACTTGAAATAAAAATTTTGCTACGTTCACTTACATTTGGTGGATATTCTTCTTCCGGTTCTTCATCTTCAGTATTGTCTTCAGTTTGCTAAAAATATCAAATGTGTGAATCTTGTTCTTAAAGATTAAAAATTATTGTGACCACATATTTTTTTTAATCACTCCATAAATAATAGCAATATTAAAAGCGCTTACCCCGACATCATCATACCCTTCTTCATCCTCATTTCCCTAAAAAAATTTTTCACCGAATAAATTTGTTAGTTATTTAATTTAAACAAAAGAACACAAACAAATAACTTACATCTTCCTCATTATAGTCTTCACCATTAGCTATTTCTTCTCCATTTTCCTGCAATGGTTTATAATTAATTTTCGGATTTGAATAAATTTTTATTGAAAAGTGAAAACTTATCATGTAAGATTAATTTGTCAAAAAGCAGATTAGTAAAAAATATCTAAGTCAAAAAACCTACCTCATCGTATTCATTATCACCGGTGTTATCCTATAAAATAATAATTAAAAAAACATTTTACCTTGTCCACGAAATATAATTTACTTACATCATATTCATTATCTCCATTATCGTTGTCTAGATCTTCTGTCTAAAATTACATTAAAAATAACATTACAAAAAATAGTGTTTTATTACAACTTTTACACCCTGTATTAAGGATAATAACACAAAGAAAAAAATTAAAGAACCAATATTAATTATATTGTACCCAAAAATTATTGTGACCTTTCGTTTGAAAACAGAACACAATCATTTGGTTCTCAGAACCAAAAAAAAAATTTCAGTGCAAACCCACAAAGTGTAATTGAAAATCACAGTTAAAAGAAGACAGAAAAGTATTTGTAATAGAAAACCCCAAGACCACATATAATTTCGATAAAAAATAACTTTTGTTTCATTCAAAATGTAGACAAAGTTTTCGTTCATAGATAAAAAATTGTTTAGTTTTATAAATAAAAAATGTAGTTATCAAAAATTATTTTCTCCACTTTTTGGGCTGCACTGTCTATTACGAACATTTCACTTACATCATTAAAATCTTGGGTATTGTCTTCCTCTTCATCGTAGTCTTCTTTAGCTTCTTCTTGACCTTCTGGTGTGTCTTGTCTAGGAATTCTTTTAGATTTTCTTTTACTTCTACTATGGCTTCTGTTGGTTTGTGAAGACAGCAAACTATTAAAACTTCTTCTTATTCTATTTACAGTGCTTGATAACCAGTGTTCTTCTGCTGGTGGACTAGATTCTAACAAATTTTCCTCGCTGTCGGATAAATCTCTTGCTATCCTATGGTGATTTTCATGATTTGTTAAATCTGTTTGTTCTAAATTTTCAAAAACTAAATCTGAGTCCACCTGAAAACAAAATCAAGTATTAACTTACAAACAGACACTAATCCACTACAATCATTCAGACATTTAATACTGAAACTTTCATAAAATAATAATTTCGTATTAAATCAATGCATTTTAAGTTACTACTTTACTTCAAAAAAATAATAGCTGATAAAAATTTGCATTCACTGGGATTACAAAAATGGTGGATGCGCCGGGTTAAAAAACTTAACAAAAATATTAAAATAATTGCAACTCTACCATATAGTATTTTACCACAAACAAACAAAGCATTTTTATAAAAATCAAATATTTTTATTTCATGTTCGAATAAACAAAAAATTAAGTCCTATAATTATTATTTATAGAATAGAACCATTTATCGTAAAACACAGGTAATTCAGCAGAAAATAACTGCTAATTAGCCAAATAACATGCATACAGGGTGTTTCGGCTAAACCCCACATTAGAAATATTGAGAGTTCTAATATATCTAATATTTATTTAAAACTTTCATTATAGCCATAATTGTTTAGATCATACCCAATGAAAATATTTTCAAGAAATGGGTATCAACTTCGTTATTTTATACAGAAAGTTATGTTTTTTATTGCGTTTTTGGAGTACTCAAGTGATTTTGAGATAGTTTTTATCTTTTTTTTATCTTTAATCGTTTTTGAAATATTTAGACTTTTTTGAAATTTTTTTAATTTGCCTTTTCCTCTCCAAAACTCGTTAACTCTACCATTTTTAACTATTTTGAAATCGTATTTGGGCATATGAAAATGAAAGGTTAGATCTTTTCTTTTGTGTATTTATAATTGGAAAAATAATTAACAAACCTCCAAAATTTAAGGTTACGTTTTTGAAACTACAAATACCCATTACTGATTTTTTTAAAGGGAAAAATGGACCAATTTTTTCTTCACTAAATGAAAAAAAAATTCTGCATCGATTTATGTCAACATTCCCTATACCTAAATTTAATGATTTCCAAGTTATTTTGACTTTTTCTGTGCCCTGGAAATATTTATCACTAAAAAAACGCCATTTTTTCACAATTGGGTTATTCAAATTAAATTTATTTAATCTAAATTTGAATAACTTTGATATTCTATTTTTTTCTTAATTCGATGATAACCTATGCTAAAGTAGCTAATGTATTTCTCACAATATCAAAAAAAGTTACTATAACTTGAAAACTATCAAACATAGGTATAGGGAATGTTAATACAAATTGAAGCAGAACTAAATTCTCCTCCATTTAGTGAAGAAAAAATTGGAGTGTTTCATTTAGAAAAATTGAGTTAAGGGTATTTGAAGTTTCCTAAAAGTAACCTTACATTTTGGCGGTTTGTTAATTATTTTTCCAATTATGAATACACCAAAGAAAAGATCTAACCTTTCTCTCTCATAAACCCAAATACGGTTCCAACATAATAAAAAATGGTAGAGTTATCAATTTTTTAATAGGAAGATTCAAATCCAAAAATTTTAAAAAGGTCTAAATATGATATAAATATAAATATTTCAAAAACGGTTAACCTTAGGTATAGGGAAGGCTAATGAAAGCTCTCTCAAAATCACTTGAGTAACCAAAAAACGCAATAAAAAATATAACTTTCTATTCATTTTATACAAATAAAAAAATAAGCTTTTGTTGACGAATTAAATTGTAGTAATAATGACTCGTCTTAATTATTTGGCTTCCCCCAATTTGTAGTAAAATTTATGCTGTGAACTAAAACGTACTTAAACTCGTTGCGTTTCTTTTTAAAGTCAAGCTTTAACTTGTCTCTCATAAAATATTTCACATTTGCGCCAGCCATTATACCGCAATTATGAGAATAAATCATGCAAGTTCGTTTCAAAAAAGGAGAGTGTGTCGTAAGACAACGTTAAGAAGTTGATTATAATGTTGATCTCTGGTGTATTTACATTTGCATATCATAACTGGGACGTCCTCTAAGTCTGGCAGCGGCAACGACTAGATTAACGCGGACGAAGGGCAAAGAAGACGCGCTCTACAAACTTTTACTCTATTTTGCAAATTTGTTTTTCAAACAAAATGTTCCGCACACTTTCGGAATTTTAAATACGTGTCATAGGTCATCCCCTATTACAACTTTTCACCCCGCGCCGCGTCTTTAAGCCGCCAACTCGTGCGTCGAATGATGACAAATTGCTCCAAGATTCTTCAACAAAAACACATTAATAACTAAGCTTACAGCTTTAACGATGACGACATAAGCAGATCAGTGCAATGATCTTATTACAACATTCAAATCACTCAAAATTTACAGAATAATAAAAGCAAGAAATTCATATTTTTTAATCAACCTCAACTAATTAGCATTACATTACAGTAACAATAATAACATTAATTAAATAAATTCGCCTAAACCTAAAGGAGTTGTTCAAAGTGACCACCATTTTGGTCAATGCATAACTAAAAAAACTAAAACCAAAATAGATAGGGTATTTTTTTACCTTAAACCCCCTCAGTTTCGGACGCCCCTGATTAAAAATTCCGACATTTGATGTTTGAATTCGTTTAGATGTATAAAGGTTATCATCTGTACCAAATTTTGTAATTTTATCTCAATTGGTTTCTGAAATATTAGCAAAAACCTATTAGCCCCCTTTCAGGGGGTGTAGCTCCCTTACCAAGCATTTTTCGATGCATGTTTATAGGAAACTTTTGTCTTAGAATTGAATATCCTATCACCTGTTTAAATTTGTAACAATAAAAACGGAACACCCTGTATAAAGGCCTATGTGGAGATTTTTTCCTTGTTATCAGCAAATTTAGGTAATTATGTTGTTTTATACATTTTTTAACGATCAAATGTACATGACCCCTTCATCCACTATAATGCATTAGTTTATATTATTAAAAAATTGATAAAAGTGTTATGTACCAAAAAACAAGATTTATTTTCTAATATAAACTTTGTGATGATTATTGCTTTATAAAAATATTTCAAGTTTAACAAAACATTTATAAATGAAATTCTAACGACACGATATAAAAAAGTCCACTTTATGCTGTCCTGAAAATTAACATTCTCATTTAAAAGATTTTTTTCTTGTTTAGTAGGTTTAATTTTGAAGCTAGTTCAACGACTTTTCGTAAACGGTTTTCCATATTAATACCATATTTTTCAATAAGAGACGGAATTATCTCAAAAAGTTTAGACAATAATATACCGAAAAGTTACCAAATTAAGTGGAAAATAATGAATTTTGCTTATTTACATCACGTTTTTTTGCAAGATTCTGTTAAAACATATTGAAAAATCACCAAACTGGGTTGAAAATGACCTTTTTATGATTTTTTGGGCGTTTTAGCACGTTTTTCAATTAAAAATTTACAAAATTATTTCGTAACAAATCGCTAAATTTACTCAAAAATGGTGTTATTTTTACTTTTTTAGAATGTGCTAAAAATTCTGTTCAAAAATAATACCATTTTTCCGTTTTAGGACGTTTTTTAGTCAGAATCGCAATTATTTTGAAAATTTTCGTCGAAAATGAGGTAAAAAATGAATAAACTATCACGAAACTAAAGTTATTTTTGCTTCTTTGGAGAGTTTTAGCATGTTTTTTTAGCCGAAAAATGTGATTGATTTTCCAAACGTTTTAGCAGATTTTTCAATCAAAAGCACAAAACTTCGTCAAAAGTAAGCCGAAAAATCACATAATTAATTCGAAAATGCTGTAATTTTTGCTTTTTTCAAACATTTAGTTGCGTTTTTAAGTCTAAAACAAAGTTTTTTTTGAATTTTTGCTAAAAATCATACCAAAATTAATACATATACCAGACAAAATAAAAAACGACATAATTTATGCTCTTTTCGAGCGTTTCAAAACATTTTTCAATAAAAAACGCAATTATTTCACAAAATTTTGTCAAGGATACGTCGGAAAGTAATTGAATGAAGTAAAAATAGTGTTATTTGTTCTTTTTTTTTAAACATTTATTTATTATAATTTATTTATTTAAACATATTTTAACATCACCTTTATCCACTGTTAATTCAAAATCCAAGTTGTACATAACGCCTTTAGCATTTGGTAATTTCATTCCTAATAGAAACCAATACATAAGTTTTTACAATAAAAGAATATTGCAAAAAAAAATGTTTAAAAAAAATACCAGTTTTCAAAAAAATGTTACATAACACCTTTATCCACTCACCCCTTCAATTTTGCTGCACTAAAACGAAATCCTACCCAAATTGCGACAAAAATTAAATTTATGTTTCAAATAAAATTTACTATTGGTGTCAAACTTATAATTCCTATGGAACATTCTGTTTATTTTAGCAACTTCAGACAAAATTTTGTACTAATTTAAATTCAAAAACAGACAAATTGCTTCAAATTGGCCAAAAATAGTAATTTAAGCAACTATTTTTATAAAATACATTGATTCAGAATGATTTCTGGGTTAAATTCGAACAAAATTATATTGCTTTATTTTGGCAGAAAACTGTTATTTTAGCATTTATTTTGTTGAAATACATTGATGTGTGATGGTTTCTGGCTTAAAATCTATATCATTTTTACAGATGTATAACTGGTTTCATTTCATTTATTTAAATAAATCATGTAACTAAAAAGGTTTCAGTATAATAGAGTCCCCTTTTAAGTGTAACACCCAAAAGTCCTGTTTCAATTTTACCTTCTTTAGATTGAAAAAGTTTGTTTTATTCCTTTATTCTTTCGCATCAAAGTTATCACAATTTACGAAACATAAAACTAATAAATACTTGATAAACTAGTAAGAAAAAATTGTATTTATTTGATTTCTTTTTTAAAAACAACAAATAATTCAAAATATTATTAATCAATTAATAAAATGAATTTCATTCTAAATTTCTAAAATTCGATCGTGGAATAACTTATGTAAGCATTTTTCATTCAAAAAAGTTGACCTTCATCAAATGCGCCAAAAATAATTCGAATTAGATTTTTGCGCAAATGCTCAATTGCATCAATTTACGAACATCTGGTTT